ATTGTGTATTCAGTTCAGTTGAAGGCAAACTCAGCATCTGCGTATGGAGGAGTTCCAATCCATAAGGCTGAATTCAACTCTTTTTCCTTGTCTCCAACCAATGTGATGTATAGATATGTGGGGGGGGCAAGGAAGGGAACACAGCATGGAATGGAAGATCACTGGGCACCTCCCAAATGCTCTGCAACATTTCTTCATGAATGAAAGCTTAACTAGTTTGAACTGACATCCCCAGTTAGCTTTTTCCAGATGAAGACATGAGGTAAAATGAATGTGTAGCACTGAAAAGGATTGTGGCTGCACTTTCTTCCTCCCAAGTGCTCTTATTCTCGTGGGTCACTCTGTTTAGCAATGCTACAGAGCTGCCATCAGCAGCATAGCCATTGCTTCAACCAGTGAAAGCACTTTAACAAAAATTAAGAAGAGCCGTCATTCATCTTGTATTTCTTGGATGTATGGGCAATTCAACATGCCAATGAATGAATGATCACCTGAGATGAAGGACGTGTTTGTAAGACTAACATGCTGGTAGCTTGCATGGCCCCCCGCTTCTGTTGACCAATTAATTAACACTTTTCTTTGGTGGGCAAAGATGACCCTTCCCCTTCCTTCAATTGTTTTACTCTCTTTGTTTAGAGAACACCTTTTATGACACCAGAGGGAAAGGATGCTCCTTTGAGCCTCTCTTGTCCTTATGTTCACCATTTTCTCTTTTAGCCATGTGGTATAAAAGGACCCATTTTATTTTACTATTTCTAACCTTCTTTCTTCATTATTTCTATTAACCTCTGAAACCTCTATATGTTATTGAAGTCTTCTGCAACCAAACTCAGGTCTACAGCACCTTGTATTCTGAGGTGGTTTCACATCCAAGTACCAACCAGACCCAATCCTGCTTAGGTTCCAAGATCAAATGTGATCAGGATTGTGGTTATACATTCAGAATATATATATATATTTGATCAGCATAACAGTATTGTATATACCATAATGGAATATACACTGCTGTATGTTATGCAAAAGGCAGGTGAACTTAAAACAAGGAATGTTCACATACACAATTTATTTATGTCCCCTGAAAATGTTAGCAATTATTCTAACTTGCACCTAGCAAGTGTAGAATAATTGTTAAAGTTAGTGTAGTAATACTAATTACTACACTAAAGTTAGTGTAGTAATTAGTGTATTTCCTGTTCTTCTTTCCAGATTTTGCATTTCCTCACAACAATGTTCATATGGGGCGAATGGTACTGGCTTGTAAGGATATTCTGCCTGGCCATGATGCCTAAATAGCTCAGTTCAAACTTCTGTTTAAAGTGATCTTTCTCATCCTTGCAGTCTACTGAGTCAGAGATAAAGAGAATGGAGAGAGAGAGAGAGAGAGAGAGAGAGAGAGAGAGAGAGAGAGAGAGAGAGAGAGAGAGAGAGGAGGGGAGAGAAGAAAGTTAGGCTTCACTCAGTTTTACTCTGGCCCCATCAATCACTGATTTTGGCCCTGCTTACCATTGCTATGCAGTCCCAACAAGATCAATCACAATGAAGCTCTACTGCCCAATCCTGCCCAATAATATCTACTGTACATCATTAGTTGTCCTCAATCAGCTTCATATGGTGACTGATGGCATGCCAATTGGTTTCAGTCATGGCAAACAATCTTGTTCCCAGAGTCTGCTTGCCAGATGTTTCTAGGAAGCTCACCCAAAAAGGCATGAAGGCGACAGACCTCCTTTAGCTGTTGGGCCTTTGCTCCCATGCTAGTGTGTTTCCAGGAAGCCATTTTGTTGTAACCTCACAGATTCAGTTTTCAACCATTTTACTGAAAGCAATGCTCATGTCAATCCCATTTCTGAGTTCTAACATTCATTAGAGAACTATAAACAGAAACTAATTGTAGCAGAGTTCATAAATAAAATGCTAGCTCCTACTCACATAGCCACATTACAGTTGCATACTCAAGCATGCACAATTGAGGTTCCTTGCTTTCTTTCATGTATGTTTACCATGTTATAATGTCTAATTATATAGTTATCCATTGTAATTACAAAGCCTAATTGCATCACTGCACATATTTACAATAATTATGTAACTGAAAGCTGTCACATTAATTATGTAAATCCATGATTACTGATTACATCTACCTCTAACTAAATCAAGGTTTTCTCACAGTAGTCTCAGAATCCTTAAAATAATGACAGTGGGAGTTAGAAATAAATGCATAAACATTACATACATCCAATTCAATTGAGGACCAAATATAGATTTTTCTAGAAATGTTTGCTAGCTTAATCTTTGAAGTTAATCTTAAACATTTTAAATCCATGGATTTCTGAACTTTACAGCTTGATCATAGCTTACTCTGCATAAGGATTTTTTAACTGTTCACTAATTCCAACCAATGACTCTTCTCAAAATGTTACGTTTTGGACTACCATTCCCAAGCAGGCTAGAAGATTCTGGAAGCTGATATCCCAAAAAGTGACATTTCAAACCTGCTACTCTCAGCCATATTATGTCTCAAGAGTTTGGGCTATAACATATAAAGTACACAGCAATTACTTATATAACATCTAAATGTATTCCTTTTTCCCCTCCTAGTAACAGGGGTGTTTTTATCTGCTTGGCTGCTTGCTTTTTGGCACTTTTCTGTCCCTCCACAAGCAGGCAAAGAACTTAGATAGGCTTTTTCTCAGTGACTGCCTACCTAAGAGTTGAGATACTAGCATGTTTGTTTGTTTGTTTGCTTGCTTGCTTGTTTGCTTGGTTGGTTGGTTGGTTGCTTGATTTGTTCCCAGATTGATAAACTTATTAAGAATATTTATCTTGTTAGGTAAGATTAAAACTAATGATGCATTTCCCAAAGCTCTTTACCAGTAGAAGTCTCACTATATTGTGATTCTTGACTGTGCCAATGCAAATGTTATACAGTCGTGCCCTGCTTAACTATTCCCTCGCTTAACGAGGAAATCGCTTTATGATGAGGTTTTTGCAATTGTAATTGCGATCGCAAAACGATGGTCTAAATGGGGGAATTTCACTTAGTGATGATCGGTTCCCTGCTTCGGGAACCGATTTTCGCTTTACGACAATCAAAAACAGCTGATTGTCGGGGTTCAAAATGGCCACCAGCTGAAAAAAATGGCCCCCCGCTGTGCTTAGGGATGGATTCCTCACTGCACAGGCATGGAAAATGGCCGCCCTATGAAGGAGCTTCACTGGACGGTGAGTTTTCAGCCCACTGGAACACATTAACCGGGTTTTAATGCATTTCAATTGGCTTTTTAATTTCATTTGATGATGTTTTCGCTCTACAGTAATTTCGCTGGAATGAATTAACATCGTCAAGTGAGGCACCACTGTATTGGGCTATCATTATTTGGACTAAATATCAGAGACAAAGAAAAAGTGGGAATATTGTGAAGACAGAAAGGAGAAAAGGAGATACATATATGCTGCCTTCAAAACACTGGATAATGGTAGGGGATAAATTTACAAAAATGAATCAGATCACAACAGATCAAGTGAAATCAAATCACCCATGTCACAACTAAGAAGAGGGAAGAACAGTGTGACAACGAGAGTAGGCTGCTTCCTTTTGGACAAAATGGGCAAAGTCCTGTTGGTGTCACTTTACAACAGTGAAATCCAGATTGGGTGCCCAAAACTTTTAATTTAAACTGATGGAAAGTTTCCTATCCCCCTGCCTTGAGGTTCTGGGGCTCCCTAGAGCTCCTTTTTCTCCTGGGGAAGCCTTAAGGAGTATCCAGATGGTGAGAGCCTTTAATAGTAAAAACTGCTCCCTGATCACTGCTGGCAATTCTCATCTTGGCAGCAGTGACCTAGAGTGCCCCTGTGATCACTGAAATAAAGACATTAGAAACGGGGGAAATTATGCAAATGAAATGGAGTAATTAAAAGTTGTTGTAAACTGTATGCATCTGTATGGAACAAACAAACTTTCTATTTAAATCAGAATTCAGGAAACCTGAGGTGGATGGCATAGTAAATTAAAAACAACACTATGAAATGAAATGCGTAAAACCCTCTATTCCAGATTCTATTGTTGCTCCCAGGTATAGTAAACACAGTGAAAAAGACTTTGGTAATTTGTCTCTTATGGACGTCCTATTGGCTCAATGTGTCTACATCACCTGGGACTAATAACTGTATTTAGTTTTCTGACCCTTCCTCTGGCTTAGCTAGAAAGAGTGATGGGCTCAAATTCATGTGGGTCCCTCCGGATGAAGTACACCGCATGGCATCACAGGTGCCATGTGGGTCCATCTCCCATCCCCCAGGCTGGCTGAGCCACTCATCTTTTGTCACCCACCACCAGGGTCCTTTGTCTCCAGCAGTGCCTCAATCCAGGCAGGAGCCCAGGCTGCCCAACCCTGCCTCCCCCGGCAGCCAACCACTCATCAGCTGCACAGGGAGAATCCACGTCTCGCCTCCTTGTCAGAGTGGTGCCTGCCTCCCCCGGCAGCCAACCACTCATCGGCTGCACAGGGAGAATCCATGTCTCGCCTCCTTGTCAGAGTGGTAGGCTGCCAAAGAAAGCAGGGATGGGCAGCTCGGACTTCTGCCTGGATTGGAGTGCCACCAGAAACAAAGGATTATCTCTAGTTAGAAGATAAAATAAAGTTATGCAGATAGCAGCCTTGAATAAACCATTTATGTAAACTGGGCATTAATTAAAATTATGAACGGTGGATATGGCATTATCCCGGACAACTCAACTGTAATTTAAATAACTCCTCCTCCTTGTCATATGAAAAGTTGAACATCGTCATGGCTATTTTGGAAGCAGCAGTTCTGTTGTGTTGCTTTCAAGCCAGCCACCAAGTTTTCTTCACCTGTAATTGTTTTATTCTTCTTGGGATTCTTTTTCTATTGCATCATATTAATCCTCACCAGACCTGGCCCACAGGTTTTACAGCTGCTTTTCAATACAAGGGCTGAAATCCATAAGTCATATATAAATATAATATATAAATCATACTTACTGTATTGGCAGTTTCTTCCCATAAATTCCCCAGGGCATTCACAGGAATAGTTGGCTATGAGATCTGTACAAATGCCACCATTCTTGCAGGGCTCCACTTCACATTCATTCACATCTGTGGGAAATGCCCAGCAACAACATGAGACCATTAGAGAGGGAGAGTTTTCGTTTTCAGAACGGAATGTCACACACTTTATGCTCAGTATTATCAACAAATGTATATTTGATGAAGAATGCACTAAGGTTCAATCCCCTTAGCCTTCAAGCTTCAATTATGGGCCAGGCAATCAAAAACACAGTGCTGTATTTTCAAATCAGCACTTGCGTTAATGGGAAAGCAAAGCATATTTTCAGTTCCCTCCCACTGAAATCAATGTGACTTGAAAGAGCTTACTTTCCTAATGACAACATTGTGACAGAAGCCATAACTGGAGTAAGCAATCATCACTGACTGGTCCAGAAGCTCAGATGTGCACTATCGTATCACAGCCCTGTAATACTGCAGTAGGTACCCCGCTGTGAGTTTTGCCTAGCTGAAACAAGTTTATCTAGCTGAAACAAGATTCACTTTTTGTTGTTCTTCTGAAGTGAAACATATAACATTTTAAAGAGGAAATAACTGAAAACCTGCATTCAGTTTTGGGGCAGAATTAGTCTCTCCCACTCTACCATTGTGTCCTCCAGTTAACATTGACAGAAATTGATTCTTTGGACCACATGCAGTTCAGAAAAATATAGCTCTGGTTTCAGCAAGGTCAGTCAAGAAGATTTTCAATTCAGTCAACTTCAATGCTGATTTTTAGATGGTAGGAATGGATGCTCTCTGCCACCAGTGAATTTTAGCAGGCGATATGGAAAATTCTAGAAGTGGGATAGCACAATTCTTTCCACCCACTAGACAGACTTTAGAGATCCATAATCTTTGCTTATTCCACACTTATTCCACACTGAAACTGGAAGTTACAAAAGCTGGTCCTGAATATGAAAGTTTTGGTGCATTTCACACATTTTAGGACTTTTTCTGAAATAGGCACGTCATTTTTCCAGAGGAAAAAATGATATTTTGTGCAGAAAGTTCTATTTTGAGCAGAATCCTTTTTTATTTGATTTTTAAAATCCCAAACCCTGTATTAAACCCTTTATTTTGTGAAAACCACATTCTTTTTGTGAAAAGTACCCCCCCCCCACTTTTGTATTTTGGTTAATACTGCTGCTGACAAAAAAACATGCTGGTTTGTTTTTTTTATGCTCATGCAGGAGAAAAATTTCTCAGTACCTGACCTTGTTCTCATCCAGATGCCTCAATGGTAAAGATTAGAAAATTTGGCAAGGATGAGAACATTTGCAATATTTGTTATATCCTTAGTGGACATAGTACATGGTACAACAATAACCTTCAAAGGTTACAGTTCTCAGGGGTGCCTGGAGAGCTGACATATAGAAATATTCCTAGAGGTGAAATTTATGTTCAGAAGGAACCCTAAGTCACCTAGACTAGATCTTGCCTGAAGGGTGTGAAGCCTGTATTGTTTGAAAACCAAAATTTTCTTAAATAGAGAGAGAGAGATTATATTTCTCCTCATTTCTAATTGCCATTACTATACAGTGGGATAGAAATATCAGTAATTCCATTAACTTTTTTCCTATGTAATTTCATACTTTAAAAGTATGCCTTCAGGGCATCAATTCCCATCATCTTCTTGAACCTTATTACAATAATAGACTGTTTATGTGTAACCAGCACTTTGACAAATGTTTTTTTAAATCATGTGGTAGAAAAGAAAAAGCAATGGCATTAAAGAGGATAAAATTGTTATCACTCTTGACTTGTTAAAGAAACAGCTCAAAATAGTAAAACTCCCTAATATTTATGAACAGATTAAGAATCTTTTCCAAGGCAATGTCATCTCATTTTGGTAATAGTCTTGGCAATTGCCTATGATAGTCAAAGAATATCTCTAGTAATATTTGCCATGTATTGATGGAATAAGGTCTAATGGAATCCATGCTGGTTGTGAAAGTACCTCTGATGCACAAAATTTCCCACCATGTTATCAGCCAAACCACTTCCAAATACTTTCAAAAATCCAATATAAAAAGGACGCTATCAGTTATTGTGCACTTTTGCTCTTCTGCAAGGGTAAAGCACTTGAATTTCAATTTAGGTTTATAGATTTAGCCCTAGCTTTGGTCTTGTAAATGTAGTTGACTATAGATTAGCAGAGACCCTCTGGAAGCTTGCAGTACAAGCATTTCAGGGTCACTAAAGTTGGGGATCAGTATTATTTGACTACTTAGTGCTTAGTATAACACTTTTTTTGTTTCATTGTTAAGTCATGTCCGACTCTTTGTGACCCCATGGACCAGAGCACACGAGGCCCTCCTGTCTTCCACTGCTTCCTGGAGTTGGGACAAATTCATGCTGTTAGCTTCAATGACACTGTCCAGTCATCTCATCCTCTGTTGTCCCCTTCTCCTCTTGCCTTCACACTTTCCTAACATCAGGTTCTTTTCCAGGGAGTCTTCTCTTCTCATGAGATGGCCAAAGTATTGAAGCCTCAGCTTCAGGATCTGTCCTTCTTTATGGTCCAGCTCTCACTTCCATACATCGCTACTGGAAAAAACATAGCTTCGACTATGTGGACCTTTGTCGGCAAGGTGATGTCTCTGCTTTTAAAGATGCTGTCTAGGTTTGTCATCACTTTCCTCCCAAAAAGCAGGTGTTTTTTAATTTTGTGGCTGCTGTCACCATCTGAAGTGATCACGGAGCCAAAAAAGGTAAAATCTGTCACTTTCTCCATATCTTCCCCTTCGATTTGCCAGGAGGTGATGGGACCAGTGGCCATGAACTTAGTTTTTTTTTATGTTGAGCTTCAGACCATTTTTTTGCACTCTCCTCTTTTACCCTCATTAAGAGGTTCTTTAATTCCTCTTCACTTTCTGCTATCAGAGTGGTATCATCTGCATATCTGAGGTTGCTGATATTTTACATTTGCAGCAAAATCAGCAGCCTCTCTAAAAATAATTGTTCTATTAACCTTGTTACAGGAGAACATTTTTGTCACTTCTGTAGACTACTAGAAAGCTTATTAAACTGGAAAGATGGAAGTTGGCTGATCTCTCTAATTTTCTTTAACACCCTCAGCATCGCTAATTAACAAATGCATTATGAAATTTGTGGTCCATCTATCAAATATTAAAGATAAATGAAGACAATTTTAAAGTAAGAAGGGCAGCAGTTTTGAAGTAGCATGTAACATTTTGTTGTAAGCCACTCAGAGTAGTGCCTTGACCACAAATGGGTGAGATACAAATTTAAACAAACAAATAATGAACCATTAGAAGTCAGCAGTGAATGAACCTTATAAATTCCACTGGTTCTCCCCCACCCCCACAAAGCTAACTATTTAATTTATGAGTTAACAATGCTAACTCAATGAATTAAGCATTTTCAATTATAAACATTAATACCGATGAATTAATTTTCCGAGTTCTCATAGTTGCTGCTGTTCTTATTCACTATTACACTGCTTCTGACATAATTAAGGGCTCCAAATGGTCCTATCATTCATGATCCTGCTCTGATATTCCAAACTCAAGGCTGTGTCAAGCTCTGCTATTATTCCCAGAGCTTTTTAATATTAACTGAACAATTCTTTCCTAGTGATGTTAAAATACATGCTCAATTCACTGGTTAGAGGATGCAACCCCCCCCCAAGATCATTCAATTTGGTTACGAAAATTAGATTAATGGGCATTGTGATCGACCCCTTGAGTTTAATGTCCCAACTGGAACCATATCAAATAATAAAATGTAGCCTATTGAACATACACAGGAACTGCAGAGTTCTGTGAACAACACCTGTTCACTGATGAGCTTGCAGATTCACATCAAAGTTGGTCAACCAGCATCATATCTTTACCTGCTAAAATGCCCCCAGGAATGTAGGGCCTTTACACTTGCTAGATGCAACACCATTTCATTGGCAGTGCTGTGTGGGATTGCATACAGCAAGAGGTGTTTCTCTGAGCTAGGAGGGGTGAAGTCACTCTCTCACATGATTTTGTATTGTCCATTCTATATAGATCTGAGTGGAAAATATTTGCACCCTTTTTTTGAAGAAGAGAGGCAGTTCAGTTTGTGAAACACTGAAGCATAACTGACAGGAGAGTCGGTTACAGTGGAGAATATGGTGGATTTTTTTGAACTAGAAAGTGAGGACTTGCAGACGGAGACATAATGAATGTGTAGATTCAGTTAATTGTATGTTGTAATTTTGTATATGTGATTTTTAGTGTATGCCTATGAAAGTTCTAAATGAATGACTGATTAATTCACTGGTTTTCCTGCACTTTATGCAGCTGCCTCCATGGCACATAGTATAAATTGTGGGAAAATAAAACCTCAAGAATTATGCTGCTAGGTAACATCAAATGCAATCATAACCAGGTGTAGGAATACTTATTTTCATGTAATCCAATACAGTTCCAGGTATGCAGCTCCTGGCAGAGATCTCATGATACAAAATAGGAATAAAGATATACTGGGCAGTGACATATCCTGCTGTTAAAGTGTGGTCAGTACACCTTATCCTTTTCCATTTCAGGAATAATGGCTGAGCTCTTTTCCTCACCTTCAACCTGTCCCTTCAGTAGTATGCTGCCACCAGTACCTCTACCCAGGACTCCAGGGTCCTAATCTTTCACTATACTACACTGGGCATCCACATAATAAGTTAATAGTTATATATTATTAATATGTATGTGAAATGATAACTTCCCTTTTTCCTCATCTAATGTGTTAACTTGAGAAATGTATTATGGTGCAGATGTTAAGGTTATGTATATGCTACATTCAAATGGAGAAATCAAGACATTTTTCAAGAATCGGATGGCCAAAAGGTGCATCTTCAAAAGGTTCTCTGAACCTGGAGAGACAAAAAGGAGCAATAAAGATTTCATCCTCTCTAAATATTTCCTTCCTTTCTTCTGGAGAAGAAAGGGAGAGATTGTGCTGATTGGATATAAAATGACTTTTTTATTTCTTTCAAAGGAAGAAAACAAACCACGAAAGAGAATGGAAAATAAACATATACTTTCTAAGAAACTGAGGGG